CAACAACTTGCTGACCTGGAAGAAGAGAAGGAGCGTGTGGAGCGCTATGTCAACAATCCTTATGGAAGCAGTGACAGCCAGAAAATGAAGGACCTCAACGACTGGTTGAGAAAAGCAAAGAATTTCATTAATGGTTCGGCAAAAAAATTAATAGGTCCTGCTGTTGGAGAACGACATGTGAAGCACAAGTATTCCTTTAAGCTGTGTCCTAATTTCAACTCTCCTTGGAATTGCGAGGATATTGGTGTACTTGTGCAAGAAGCTCGTAGATTACTTGAGGACGTCTCACGAGGAGATCAGCATGGGGCAGTTAATCGTTTCGAGTACTTTGAGTGGACAAAGAATGTTTTGGACGGCATTTTGGAGGCAGTTCAATGTCGTAGCATCAACACCATAAGTGTGTACGGGGAGTCTGGTACGGGGAAGACCATGCTCGTCAGAGCAGTGAAGAGAATAGCGGAGGAACAAAAGTTATTTGATGCGGTTGTTATGGCATCTGTGAAGCAGAACCCCAGAATCCAAGATGAAATTGCACGTGACTTGGGTGTTTCTAATGAACTTACATATCAGGAAGCTTCCAATCGAAGAAAGGAAAGAAAGCTAACAGAAAAGAGGGTCCTCTTGATTTTGGACGATATTTGGGAGCCAGAAATATATCGGAAGTTGCATGAAAAACTTCCATTGGAAGATGAGAATGAGAACAGGTTATTATCTTACAAAATTTTGCTGACTACTGCTAGAGATAGCAGTGTTCTCTTTGATTTATCTGAAATACAATTTGAGATTAAACCATTAAAAGAAGAAGAAGCATGGAGGCTGTTTGAGAAGATAGCTACTTACCAAACTGAAAGTCGTAGTTTGCCATTTTATGCAAGAGAGATTTGCAAGAAGTGTTATGGTTTGCCCATTGCCATTGCAACACTTGCAATGGCCTTAAAAAGTGGCAGACTAAAGCGGAAGACTATTCTACAAAAGCTACAAAGCCATCCAAGCCTTCATTCAGCTTTCTATAGAAGTTATGATTGTTTGAAAAGCTCCGAACTCCAACAAACTTTTTTGCTTTGTAGTCTGATGGGTCATAATGCAGCTATTCAAGACTTGTTGAAATATACCATTGGCTTCGATTTATTCCCAGGAGTCGATTCTGTGGAGAAAGCACGAGATGCATTACTGAATTCAATGACTAAACTCAGATATTTTTCTTTGTTGCTGGATAATGGCGGTAATATGCATTTTGATATGCATGATCTTCTCATGATTTTTGCCAAATCAATTGCTTTTGAAGAAGTTGGACTGAACTACTGGGAGGAAATGAAGAGCATCAAATGGGTGCATTTATCAGATACTAGTGAGATTCCAACAGATCAGTTGAACTGTCCGCAGCTTACTTTCTTTCATTTGTCTAAAGAGGATCCTTCTAAACAAATTCCACTAGACTTGTTTACAGGAACTAAAGGGCTCAAAGTCCTGGGTTTGACTAAAACTTGCTCAATGCCTCAGTCAATTTCCCTTCCATATAACCTTCTTACCTTGCGTCTGGATCAAAGTGTGTTGCGAGATGCAGACATGGGCGCAATTATAAGAAAGCTAATATTTTTGCAAGTCCTCAGCCTTGTGGGATGTGATCTCGAAGAGCTGCCAAGGGAGATAAGGGAACTACCTAACCTGAAGTTGTTAGATTTGAGTGATTGTACCAAAGTCAAAGTAATTCCACCAGATGTTTTGTCAGGGCTGCCAACATTAGAAGAACTATATATGAGAAACAGTTTCGATCAATGGGCGGAGGGTGTTAAGGAGCAGGAGAAAAAAGTTGCTAGACTTTCTGAGTTGGAGCAATTATTGAACCTAACTGCTTTAGAGGTACGAATTAATATTTGCAATATCCAAATGATTGAAGGAGACTTGTTCTCCGAAAATTTGGCAAGATACAAGATTTTCGTAGGAGATATGTGGCACTCCTGGGATAGTTCTTATGGAAGTTCAAAAATAGTGAAGCTAAAGCTAGATGCAAATATTAGTTCTGAGCATTCAGTTAAGAAGTTGCTAAAGAAGACACAGGAACTACATCTACAAGGGTTGAGTGGTGTCAATAATGTTGTTAATGAGTTAGATGAGGAAGGTTTTCAAGAATTGAAGTATCTCTTTATCCAAGATGCTCAGAATGTTCAACATATCATTAACTCAATGAAGCATGATGCTCAGAATGTTGATCAAGATAGCATTAACTTAATGAACCCTGCATTCCCTGTATTGGAGGTGCTAGTTCTACATAATTTGGAACAAATGGAGAAGATATGTCATGGTTTGGTTAAAGAATCATCTTTTAGCAAATTAAGAATGATAACGGTTGAATCTTGTAATAAACTAAAGAATTTGTTCTCCTCCTCTATAGCCAAACGAAATTTTTTCCAGCTCCAAGAAATTAGAGTGACAAAATGCAGCAACTTGGAAGAGATTGTTGATGACGACGAGCAAGGGGGTGAAAAAGATATCTTGAAGGAACTGTGCTTCTTGAGATTAGAAGATCTACCAAAGTTGATTGCCTTCAATTGTAGTTGCAAGAGAATGACACTTTTCCAAGAACAGGTGTTTGGTTAATTTCTTTTATTTCATTTTGTTCTTATCTAAGCCATCTCCTTTGCATTACTTGTTTGTATTCTAGTTAGACATACCTAATCTCTACAAATTTTAACATGACCATCCATTTCTTTTTCCATCAACAAAATGAGAAGCATTTATTATAAGAAAATATCATTGTGTGTCATGCAGGTTGCATCTTTCAGTGCTGGTAAACTGATGAAATTGATCATTAAGGGATGTGATAATTTGAAATGCGTATTCTCATCTTCTATGGCTCGAGGTCTAAATATACTGAAACACCTTGAAATAAGGAAATGCAGGAGTATGAAAGAGGTCATTTTTACAGATAATAATGTAGAAGAAAAGATGATTTTCCCTCAGTTGAACATTCTACAGATAGAAGACCTCGAAGGCCTTGTCAATTTCTACTCAGGAAATTGTATTGAACTAAAATCATTGAAGAAACTGCAAGTGTTGAACTGCCCAAAATTGGAGGGATTCATTGCAAACACACAGACACTCTTTAATGAACAGGTAAGTTTTCCTCATTGTGTCTTTAAATATGGAAACTATGTACTCGTCCTTATCCTTTCACACATTGGAAAGATTGTATTTTGACTAGAAATTTTTATAAATTTGTTAAATCTATTTAATTAATCAAAATGAAAAATCAAAAATGAATTTAATAATTTGCATTCTAACTTTCTTTGAAAAAGAGGCTGAAGATGAAAAAGAAATAGTGATCTAGATGCTTATATTTGATCCAAACCATAATTGATTCAACTAAGAAAAAACCAAACAAATTGAGGATTGGTTTTGTAAAATTTTCAAAAATAATATGATTCATTCTGTTAGTGGTTTTAGTTTCAGTTGATGAAACCAAATTAATTAAAAAAATAATTAAATTAAATAATATAATATTTCAGTTTTCCTATTTTATTTAAGAATTATACATTTTTTTTTTTTTTGGGTTGATAGTACTTAGTTTTGTGGCATTACTTGGTTTAGTTTGTTGAACGGTCATTATCTTAGTTTTGTGGCATTACTTGGTTTAGTTTGTTAAATGGCCATTATCTGCTTTCCTTTTTGAACTCTTAGAATTACTTTTCTAGATATATTTGTTGCATTATAGTACCTCCATGAGTTCATCAATGGTCGTTCAACCTTACCATTTATAATTTATATTATATCGGTTCTTCATTAAGAGGGACATGCTGCTTCTTCTCTTAAACTTAGTCTTTTGAAGTTTTCATTGCTGGGCGAAGGAGATCAACATACTCAATTAGCGATATGTCATGCAGAGGATTAGATCAATAGGTTTAGTTTGTTCCATAGTAAGTATAAAACTGATTAATTCAATCACAACCAAACCAAACCAATCTAAGTTGAATTTCTTCAATTATAGTACATTAATGTTTATAAGCCAAATCTGTAAAAATTAGACCACAAAAAAAATTCAAAATTACGTTATTTCAAATAAAACATGTGAGAAATTATTAAACTACTCTTCATCCATACCCTAAAATATGTTTATTTTAGGCTTTTCGCAATGGAATTTTATAGAAATGACAAAGTTTTAGGTGTTTTCCCACACAAACTTTTGCAATTCCAAAGGATAAATACTTTCCCATTGTTATTAATTATTAGGAAAATAATTAATATTTACTCGATTCGATACACATTTTGATATCCATCTGGTTCAGTCATTTAAAATATAATATAAACACAATCGATTTAATTAGTTCTTCCATCTTGTATGCATAATTACATCTTTAACTTTGTTTGCCTCTAGTTTCAAGTAAGAAAGTAATGATTTTTTTAACTAGTATGTTATGCAATGTGTTGAACCAGAATGTGTATTAATTAGTGTCCTAGTTATTATTATTATTTAAAATTTTTAGTGACAAAATATTAAAAAATAACAAAATTAGTGTTGTTGTCAACAAATGTTGTTAATCAATCTTTTTTTTTTTAAAACATATATCATACAACTGCATGTTATTTCACGTTTTTGCTTCCAGATTATCCTTAAATTGTTGTTAGTTTAATCAAAGCATAAAAAAATTTTATGAAAGGAGATTCTAAGGGGCTGAGTTTTCTAACTTGGAGCTCTTGAAGTTGTCTCCAATTGGCATTCATCAAAACCGACAAAAACAAGCTTTCTGCGTTGTCATTGTCTTTAAAAACGAAGATCTCTTTGCAGGTCAAGTTTCCTAACTTGGAGTTTCTGAGGTTGTCTTCAATTAACATTAAACAAATTTGGCACATTTCGAGTAACGCTTCTGTTAAAAACTTAAAGAAGTTGCTTGTGGAGGGTTGTGGTAATTTGGAGTATC